GAACTTACAGGTGAAATACTTTCGGGGATGACCTGCCTTATTTCCTTTGTGGGCAACGCCTCCGTGTGAGAATTGGAGTTCACATTCAATTCCTCCGATGTTGCACCTTCTGGTCGTACAACACCGTCACGTGATTCAGAATGTAAATCCCCCCCTCGTACGTGCGCATCTTCAGACCCCGACCCATTACCTCCCGACAAAACTTTCCTTTCACTGGAGGTGTTCTCCTTGCCAAGCTCATCAGCGTTCTCAGCAGCAGCAGCAGCAACGGCAGGACGTTGACGCCTCCAACGACGACGGCCATCCACAACGGCAAGAACACCGTCCATCCTCTGACGCATGCATTCCTCAACGGCGGACGCATTCGCACGGCCTCCTGTCCTCCTGCTGACTTCCTCCGCGCAATTCCTCCGCAGCTGAGAGCGCCACTCCACAACCAAATACTCAACCGCACTGCCATCAGGAACACCGCCAGCACCATCGGCCGCAATTCCAGAAAAACCGCACCACAGCACGCAGAGGGCACACACCAGCAGCACACGGCCAGTCATCATCATCGCCATCACTCCTGTCACTTGCGTGCAGCCTTCAGCACAAACTAACTCCCCGTCAACGCAGAGCAAAAACAAAAGGGGAGACACTGCCGCTACACTGCACACAGCCACCCCACAGTCACAAATGGCAGCAGCCCAGCAACGGCAGCGCACACACACCATGAGGCAGTTGGAAACAGTGAAAGGGCAAAAACACACAACGCCCCGCAGCAAACAAACAGAAAAACAACAACCGAGGTTTAGATTCCAGCGGGACTCCAAAAAAAATAAATAAATAAAATTCCCTCGGCAGGACTGTTATTTCATGTGCCAAGCAGCAAAAAACGACCATGTGCTTCTGTATGTTCATAATGCCTGCAGCAATAAAAAGAAGAAAACCACGTTATTGTTCCACCAGCCCACACAACATCCCTCACATTTCATTGCGGCATCCGGCCTGTTCCTCCAATCCTCCTTTCGTGCAGTCCGTGGGACGCACAGCAATGAGGCCGGCACCGCGTGTGGGCAAAAAAAAGCAAACAAGAGGGATGAGCACGTCACACATGAGGGTGTGCAGCAACCGACCATTGAATAAAGGAACAGCAACGACACTCATTATTCCAGGAAAACAACAAAACAAACATCAAAACGTAAATAACAAAAGAAAACACGCATGCAACGAGGCACATGTTCTCCATGAGGAGCCGCAATTCCACACTCTTCGGCTCACAAGACCGTCACAACTCCACACAATCCCAGAAGAAGCAGCAACGCCCAATACACGCACACACGCACAGTGCCGTCAACAGTCAACTCGCGCAGTGTCCATTTCGCGTCGTTGCGCAGGGCAACGCAGTCGTGTAGACTCACACCGATAACGGAATACTGCGCGGTGAATTCTCGTCATTGGGGTTTGTTATCGCGTCCACAGGCATTGCGTTGACTCAATCCGTCCGCATCACCCTCAGCAACAAATCCACTGCCTGCAACGCCATTTTCTAAAACGAGAGATTTGTGTCCAGTGGCGTCGTGCTCACTCACCTCGTCCGTGTTATCCGCGGCAACGTGTTCCCTGCCGCCATAATTAACAGACATGATCCCGGATGCATTCGACGCCACTGATATTCTCGGACCGTTGGCAAAGGAAGGCCTCTTCGTGGATGCATTCGGGACCATCACTTCGTTCGGATTGGCGGCAAACTCAGGCCTCGTCTCGGACGTGTTGGTCGCCGTGTTGGGTGCGGGACTCGGATCGACGGTGTTGGGTCCGTCAGCCGCCGCAGACTGTCGTCAATCCTCGTTCTGACGTGACGGCTCAGCATTAACTTGCGGCGCAGTTGTCCCACCAGATTTTGTGTCATCCTTCCCTTCACGGGGTGGCGGCAACCGACAGATGCCGTCCGGTCAGCATCGCTGCTCCGTGCAGGCGGATGGATGGTTCCATCGAGGGAAATTGACGCCACCACAATTCATAAGGGCCGGCGTATTTATGTGCCATCACATTCATCGTGGAGGCAACGGTGGCCCCTTCCTCTTTCCTTGCACAGCTGGCAGCACAGTTGCTACATGTGTGCACCGCATTGGCCACATGACACACAGCACCCAGCTCACCATTCCTGCCATGCATGCGCACATCAAAGCCACTGAAAGCATAATTCTCATGCTGAGCCTCAGCACCGGCAGCAGAACACTTCTTCCACACACACGCACGCGATGGCTCAGGCTGCCGTCACTCGGAGCACACGACACATCCACCGGCACAACCACCGCATCCGCATCACCAGATACATCTCCAGCACTCCCAGCAGCCGTCACGCACACGGACGAGCACCCACCACACCAGCCACACGCGCAAGCAAACCCTCATCCATCCATGACGCGGCAACAAAATTTCCAGCCATCCCGCCCTCAATGGGACACGGAGCCCAACTCAACGCAGCCACACGCGGTGCTCCACACCCGCAGGAAAGGAGACGCGGGCTGCGCACTCCCTCTCCCTCCTCCTCATGGCCACAAAGAAGGACAACAGCCGCCACACGCAACCGCCAGCATGCACTGCAAAAGAAGCATTCAAATCCACTGCAATGTGCATCTTGTGTGTGTGTGGTTGTGTGTGCCTGCAGAAACACAAAGCAAAGAAGTAGAAAAAAGGAAGCAGAGTGTGTGGAGAGACGCACAAAAAAATGTACAGCGAAGACGCGTGGCGGAAACAACAAGAAGAAGACCACTCAAACTCACGATTGCACCGCAGCCCAATCAGCGGCAATTCACACAAAAATTATCCAAAACAAAAAAAGAAACCTTCCCCTTCGTCTTACACAAACCCCATCACACAAAATAATTATAAATAAAAAGAAATCGTCCATTACTGTTCCACACAAATTAACAAAAGACAGCTCGCTGCCGTGTGGCCACACCAAACTGTTTGCAAATTTTGCCCGTAAAAAAAAAATTAAAAAGATATTTAAATGCCTTTCAGCCGTCCGACCCTCTGTGTGTCCGCACATCGTTTATATTTCATGGGGTCATCCGCGTGTTGCTGCTCCCCTCAGCCCTCCCATCGGCGCGTGAGTGCGGCCCGCAGAGCACAGTCACTCGTGTGTGGGGGGACTGAGAGAAGCGCGCAGACATGACGGGAGTCGCGTCACTCCATCGGGAGAGTGAGCGCAGCAAAAGAAAAAAATCATCGGAGGGGAGAGAAATGCTCACGAGGCCGACAGCGAAGGGACTGCCGGCGCGTGAAATGCACACGAAAACAAAACAAGAGGGGAAGAAATGTGTGCTCCGCCCCACAGGCCCTCGTCGCACGCCCACACGTCACGGCTCCCTCAGCGCGCCGTTCGTCGCGGCCCCTCCTCATGCGTGCGGCAGGCGAGGCGCACAGGGCCGTCGTCATGAGCGTGTCGGTGGGTGTGCGAGTGGAGCAGTTGGGCGGAAACACACGGCACCCCTCACAGGAGGAGTGCAGCAGAAACAATTAAAGAGGGAAGAGTAGAAAAGAAAAAAGAAATTCCACAGTGATTGCCCCAAAAGGAAAAAAAGAAGGGATGAGGGGATTAAAGATTGGAAAAAAAAAAGATTAGAAAAAAAAAGAACAGATAAATTTTTTTTTAAAAAAAGAAAAGAAGAAAACAGGAAAATAAATTTAAATATGCAAAAAAAAAAGGAATGAGTTAGTAAGAAATAGATAAACGCTCATAGCAAAAGCAAGTTAAAAAAATTACAAATAATAATAATAATAATAATAAACAGTTACGGTGCTCCGCCCATGCAGCCAGGCAGGACGGCAGCGGTGCGTGTGGTGCAAAAGAGAGCACCAACGGGCCTGCATGGGCGTGCATGCATATATACAATGGGCACATTATGTGTGTGCCTCGTGGGGTGGGGTGAGGGCGAGAGTCCATGCAAGGGGACACACACACAGAGAGAGTGAAGGAAGAGTGTGTGTGCGGGCGGTGCATGGCTCTCTCTCCCTCACTCTCACGCAGCCACCACCGCAGCAGCAGCCGCACACGCAACGACAAGAAGAAGCAAAAGAGGGTACGTGGTGTGGGAGACCTCGGTGCTGCCGTCGCTGTCGGTGAGAGTCACCGTGTTTATCTTATTAGTGACGTTGTCTGGTGCTTTTGTGGAATTGTTGCTTTCAGACGCTGTGTTGTTTGTGCCATCCGGCGTTGTTTCAACTTCTTTATCCACAGCGTTTTGTGTCACGCTTTCATTGGAAGTGCTGCTTGCACCCTTGGAGATTTGAGTACTGCTGTTACTGTCGCGCGGTGCCGCGTTATTTTCGGGTTTGGCAAAGGTGGCTTCAACTTGTGTTGTTTGTATGGGACGATCCGTCGTGTGTCGAAGTGTGGGATTTTCTTCTGTCACTGCGGCAACAGAAAGAGAAGTGGCGTCCAGAATCTTCTTCGCAGCACCCTCGTCGGTGTGATGTGTGGCAGAAAAATTCGCATTGGGAGGTGACGGTAGAGTGTTTCCGCTTGAAGTTTAGTTGGTGCATTGTCATTAGAATTTGTGGCAGATGGATTAATTCCTGTTGGTACGTTTTTGTCCGAAAGGTTTTTTTCTTTTTCCGCTTCCCCTTTCTTATCATTTTGGGGATTCTCTGCCGCAGTGAGTTCCGCCCCCTGGTCGCTAGCAGGAGAATTCCCTCCTAGAGAAGAAGATGACTGGAGTGCCTGCTGTTCACCGCTAACTAATATTTCCTGCGTTTTATCATCCTTACCTGCGGTATCTTCTTCCACTTCTTTACTGTCTGGTGAACTTACAGGTGAAATACTTTCGGGGATGACCTGCCTTATTTCCTTTGTGGGCAACGCCTCCGTGTGAGAATTGGAGTTCACATTCAATTCCTCCGATGTTGCACCTTCTGGTCGTACAACACCGTCACGTGATTCAGAATGTAAATCCCCCCCTCGTACGTGCGCATCTTCAGACCCCGACCCATTACCTCCCGACAAAACTTTCCTTTCACTGGAGGTGTTCTCCTTGCCAAGCTCATCAGCGTTCTCAGCAGCAGCAGCAGCAACGGCAGGACGTTGACGCCTCCAACGACGACGGCCATCCACAACGGCAAGAACACCGTCCATCCTCTGACGCATGCATTCCTCAACGGCGGACGCATTCGCACGGCCTCCTGTCCTCCTGCTGACTTCCTCCGCGCAATTCCTCCGCAGCTGAGAGCGCCACTCCACAACCAAATACTCAACCGCACTGCCATCAGGAACACCGCCAGCACCATCGGCCGCAATTCCAGAAAAACCGCACCACAGCACGCAGAGGGCACACACCAGCAGCACACGGCCAGTCATCATCATCGCCATCACTCCTGTCACTTGCGTGTAGCCTTCAGCACAAACTAACAAACCGTCAACGCAGAGTGAGAGCAAAAAGAAGAAGACACGGCCGCTACAACAGTCACGCCAAAGCAACAAGTGACAAATGGGAGCACCCCAGAAGCAGCACACAACATGAGGCAGTTGGAATCAGTGAGAAGGCAAAAAATGTACGCACACACACAGCCCTGCCGCAACACCAACACAAAGATGGAAGAGGGAGAAGCAAACAGGAGCGGCACACAAGGCTCCGCCGCATGCACACACGGCTTCAGCGTTCATCCACTGGTGCTGACTTTTCTTGCCAGGGCATTTGTGCACGCTTTTCCCTCCATTGTCTATTTTTTTTTTGGCACAGGAGGCAACGGGTGGGCATTCGTGAGTGCTGCGGCGGGATTTTGTTGCCCTCGCCGGGACGCGCTTAACGGCGGCAGCTCCATGACTTTGTGCACAAAAGGAATGGGACTTTCTCCGGATTCTCACCGCAGGCGCATGCCGTGGACGGCCTAAAAGGAGTGTGTGCCCGGTGTTGTTCATAGCTCCAAGGAAAAGATGGTGTTGGATGGTGCACAACGAGTGGATGTGGATTGTGTTGACCGTGCATCGCAGGTGTATCCGCTGGAGGCATTGCGGGCGACTGTGGCCAGTTACGAGTACAATACATCTAGAGGAAAGAACATTTTTAATTGGCTTCTCAGGCGGAATCCAATGTACTCGGGCAATGGGTTTACTGCGAGGATTGGCAGGAGGGGACGTACGACGAGGAAGTCACTCGCGTCGTCATTCATTTCCGTCGCCGTGAGACCAAAACACAGCCCGCGCCAATACGCCTTGCGGATTTTCCGGGATGGCATGCACTGTTCCGCTTGGCGTCTTTGTTTTCCATCCCCGAGCGTCGGTGCAGACGTCCCTGTCGATGCAAGTTCTTATCGATTGCGGGCACACCCATTGATTGATTGATGCAGCCGGCACCCCAGCCCATTGCTGGTGCTTCTTGCATGACTGCTGCACTGCCCCCAGCAGCTGGTGCAGTGGGACTGGGGACGAGAACACGGCAGAACAATTTCAGTCAGATGGTGCTGGCAGCCCTGTCAGCGACCCACCCACACCACCAGCGAGCACAGGAATCGCCGGGACAGGGAAGGCATCAACGGAGTGTCAGGACACCAGTTGTCCTCCCACATCATTTGCAGCCAAGCAACCGGAAGAATTCAGGACAACATCATTCACCAACAATGAAAAAGGAACAACGACCACCGCCGACAGATACAGCACCGCGGTCTCCCACACCACTTCCCATCCTTTGCATCTTATTGTTGCGTGTGCGGCTGCTGCTGCGGTGCCCAGAACTGCATTAAGTGGTGTGCTCTGAATATGAACGAAGGCCGAAGGCAACTGAATTGTTTTTGTGATGAATATTGGCTGCACTTCCCGTGGACCAACAATCCACGTGGTGTGCGGGGATCTTTTTCATTTTTTTATTGTTACTTTGCTGTTGTGTTGCTGTGTGCGCTGCACCTTCTTGTGTGTGTGCGTACCCTCCGTGAGGGGTGCAGACACGACGGACCGCTCTCGCCGTGTGTGCATGCGGTGGAGCCTTGTGTGCCGCTCCTGTTTGCTTCTCCCTCTTCCATCTGTGTGTTGGTGCTGCGGCAGGGCTGTGTGTGTGCGCCTGCTGCCATGGAATGGAGTGTGTGTTGTGCGTGGTGTGCGGCGTACGGTGCATGCCTGGCTGCTGCCCTCTCCTCATGTGGTGTGCCCTCTGTGTGTGTCTGCCGCACCTCTCGTCTCCCCTGTTGCTCTCCATGTCCCTCACTGTGCAGATCAGTTCCACACCACTGAAGGACCACACTCACGATGATGACGTGCCGTCTGCTGTGCGCCCCGTTGGTGCTCGCCCTGTGCTGCTGTCCGTCCGTGTGCGTGACTGAGAGCGGAGGTAAAGCTGAAAAAGATAGTTCTGGTGCAAAAGGAAATGAGAAAAGGGAAGTAAGTGAGGCGACGGATCAACAGAGAGAAGCTTCTCCTTTGCCACCTAGAGGAGAGGAGGAGGAAGAGAAAGAGGAACAGAAACCAAGTACGGCGACTCATACGTCACAGGAAACGGCTAAAGCAACCGGAACGGCAGAGTCAGAAAGTAGTTCCAATAATACAAAAGATCAAGATCATGGGCAATCCACTAAGGAAGAGACTGAAAATACGAACACTAACACTTTAAATGAACAACACAAGGAATCAAATGCACCAACTACGACAAAGACGACCACAACTACAACAAAGGCACCAACCACAACCACCACGACCACCACTGCGCCAGTGGCACCAAGTACTACAACTACAGAGGTGCCAACGACGACGACCACCCGCGTACCGTCACGTCTTCGTGAAATCGACGGCAGCCTCAGCAGCTCTGCGTGGGTGTGTGCCCCGCTGCTGCTCGCCGTATCCGCGCTGGCGTACACCACTCTGGACTGAAGAATTTTATGCGGGCTGTGCGTGCCAACACTCAACCGCGGGGACTTGTGTGCGTCTACTGTGGTCCGATGTACTTAATAAATGAGAGAAAATAATGATTGTGTTTTGCTTTACTTGCTTCCTCTGCCCTGCTGTGTGCTATGTATTGCCGCTACCTGTATCCGTCACGTTGAACGCATCGCAGACACACCCATATGCACGACACGCATACAACTGTTTGCGTGGACGCATGTCTGTGTGCTGGTGCATGCACACTGGAGCCATTTTGTGCAGCCCCTTGTTTTTTGTGTGTTTTTACATCTTTTACTGTATTGCTGTTTGTTTACTGTGTTTTGTTTTTAATTGCTTCGTGTGCTTTCTCTGTTTACTTGCTGAGGGGCGTTGTATGCGTTTTTGCCTTTCACTGTTTTCAACTGTCTCATGGTGTGTGTGCGCTGCCGCTGCTGCCATTCGTGACTGTGCGGTGGCTGTGCGTGGTGTAACTGCCGTCGCTCTCCTTTTGCTTTACCTCTGCGTTGACGGGGAGTTAGTTTGTGCTGAAGGCTGCACGCAAGTGACAGGAGTGATGGCGATGATGATGACTGGCCGTGTGCTGCTGGTGTGTGCCCTCTGCGTGCTGTGGTGCGGTGCGGCGGTGGTGGTATCGTCGATGCCTGATGCCAACAGTGTGCAAAGTTTTTGGCGTGAGAATTTGATCCCAAGGTGGCATGAACTGCTGAAGAACGAATGCGAGGCGGAATATTCTAAAGAAACAAATTTGAGTTTGAAGGATTTGGCCGTGAATTGTTGTTTACATCATGCCATGCATGAACTTTGTAAGGATCTTTACCCTAAGCTGTTCAAGAAAACTGAATTCTCTAATGTTGAGGGTGTTTGCAAAGAGTACGCTGCAGAACCAGATGAAGTCAAATGCCCAAAAAGGCAAACCCAACCGCCGCCAGCTACGGACAATTCAGTGAAAGTATCGGTTCCAGAAGCACTGGGAAAGGAAGGAGACTTGGGAGAAACACCGGAAGAGGCACCTCTGGCAGATCTACCAGCAAAACCAACAAAAGGACCACCATCCTCGCCAATGGGAGGACAACCCACCAATGCAGATGATGTGCCGGCACCAAAATCAGAGGAACGCCCAGTAAGCACGAGGCCAACAAACGATTCGAGAGAAGGGGACACTGACACAATCACAGACACCGATCAGGAGGAAACATCTACCAGTGAAGCCGAATCAGCCGCACCAACACCCCCAGTTGCCAGCGATAATGATGATGACAACGAAACGGACAAGGGCACTGGAGAAAAAGTTCCGAACAATGCACCGGAATCCGATGTTGCAGGCACAAATGAAAAAAAAGATGAAAATAAGGATAATAATCCGAAGGAAACACCGGTCCAAGTTGCAGGTATAAAAACTGATACGACGCCTGGCGACAGTGACGGCAGCACCGCGGTCTCCCACACCACCTCCCCTCTTTTGCTTCTTCTTCTTGTTGCGTGTGCGGCTGCTGCTGCGGTGGTGGCCGCGTGAGAGTGAGGGAGAGAGAGCCATGCACCGCCCGCACACACACTCGTCCTTCTCTCTCTCCCTCTGTGTTTTTTTTGCTTTACTGGAGCAATGAGAGTGTGTGCGCTGGTCGTCCCACGCTTCGGCTTTTTATTTTGTTTTTTTAATTGTTTTTGCGTATTTCAAATTCTTTTTGTAATTTTTTTAATGTTTGCTTCTTTTCTTGTTTTAAAATTCTTTTTCCATTTTTATGTGTTTGTGATTTTCATTTTTTTTTTTTTTTGCTTTTAGGGGCAATCACTATGGACGTTTTTTCTTTTCTACTCTTCCCTCTTTTAATTGTTTCTGCTGCACTCTTCCTGTGAGGGGTGCCGTGTGTTTCCCGCCCAACTGCTCCACTCGCACACCCACCGACACGCTCATGACGACGGCCCTGTGCGCCTCGCCTGCTGCACGCATGAGGAGGGGCCGCGACGAACGGCGCGCTGAGGGAGCCGTGACGTGTGGGCGTGCGACGAGGGCCTGTGGGGCGGAGCACACATTTCTTTCCCTCTTGTTTTTTTTCTTTGCGGTCAGGGCGGGCAGACACCCGCAGCGCCACACACACAGCCACACCCTGCCGCCGTGTTTTTAAGATTTCTTTTTTCCTTTGCTGCGCTCACTCTCCCGATGGAGTGACGCGACTCCCGTCATGTCTGCGTGCTTCTCTCAGTCCCCCCACACACACGAGTGACTGTGCTCTGCGGGCCGCACTCACGCGCCGATGGGAGGGCTGAGGGGAGCAGCAACACGCAGATGACCCCATGAAATATAAACGATGTGCGGACACACAGAGGGTCGGACGGTTGAAAGACATTTAAATATCTTTTTAATTTTTTTTGCGGACAAAATATATGCAGACAATTTCTGGAGCAGCACGGCAGTTGGGTGCCTTTTTTGTGTGTGTTTTTCTTTTTTTTTCTTTTTTTTTCTTTTTTTCTTTCGAAAGTGTGAGGTGTGGAAAGGTGAAGATGAGTTTTTATTCATTTATTTTCATTTAATTTTTAATGAATTGCCGCTGTTTTGTCTGCAGTGCAATATCATGAGCCTGAGCAGTCTTTTTATCTTTATTTCTGCCATGCACCTCCGCCGTACATTTTTGTTTGTGCGTCCCTTCACATGCTCTGCTTCTGTTTTTACTTCTTTGCCTCGTGTGTCCGCAGGCACACACACAACCACATGCACGCACAAAATTCACATTGCAGTGGATTTGTATGCTTCTTTTACAGCGCTTGCTGGCAGTTGCGGGTGGCTGCTGCTTCCTCCGTGGGCATGAAGGGAAGGAGGAGAGAGGGAGCGCGCACCGCGAGTCACTCTTCCTGCGGGTGTGATGCGCGCGGTGGGCTGCGACTGCTGTGGATGGCCGCATCCTTTCGGCGTGCGCTTCTCCGCCGTTGTGCCGTGCGTTGGCGCATGTCATTTGTTATGCGCGTGCGTGCTGGGCGTGTTTTTCCGGAGCGTTGGGCGGCTGCCATCTGTCTATGGCGGCTTGTGTGAGTGGACACGTGCGGATGAGGGTCAGGGCGTATGGAATGAAGGAATGGCTTGAGGAAAGGGGAGTTTGATTTGGATGGTATTTGGACCAGATTCGTTTGGCTGCGGTGGACACATGCACGACGGATGTGTTTCCGCATAATGGGGGAGGATGCGACAGGATTTTCCGAAGTGGCCCGTCAATGCAGTTTGGGTTTCATAGCACCGGGGCACAGTGCTCTTCTTGCAATGGCTGGTGACGGCCTCTAGTGGACCGGTGTATTTATGCTGCTGCTGCTGCTCGAGGAGGCGTAGAAGTGCGATTTGAGGTGGGCGGCGGAAGGCCCGCACATCCCGCAGTGACGGTCGTCGTTGGCCCAGTGGGTGCCTCTGAGGGTTTTGTTGGATGCAACGTCCTTATGCCCGTCTCCGGATGGCGGCATCCCTGATGCAGCCAACGAACGGGGCTGGGAGCGGCCGGCGCACCGCACGCTGAGCGCATGGCGCGGTGAGGACCGGACCCAGAAAAGGGACACCGCGTGGGACGTCAATCTTCACTGCAGCGACCGCCACCGAATTCGGATTTGCTCGCACCTTCTGCGGTCCCTCTTCCTCCCCTCACTTCTGCGCCGAGGACTATGCCGCGGGATCGAGCAGCGCGATGTTTGGCCGCAAGAACATGTCCCGAACAAATGATTTGTGAGAGGGGATGTGCACTGCGACGAGAAGGAGAAAAATGTTGCGAGACGACCACCACCGCAAGATCGGAGCTAAGTTGTGTTTTGTCCACTTGTGCGAGGGCGGCCTGCCACCTGGTCGGTTGGGAAGATTATTTTTATTGCGTTGTTGCGCTCTCTTTTTATTCCGCTGCGTTTTCTTGCGGACCTGCGAAGGGAGATTTGCAAGAAATTCCTGCGAGGCGTCCGTGCCGTCGTCGGAAAAGCGGATTCCCCCTTGAAAAACGCTACTTTTTAAATTTGTTTTGGGCGGGGAGTTCCTGTCGATTCAACGCGACTTTGTTTTGCGGATTTGATGCGTGTGTTTCCGCGCGGTTCGGTCTGTGCTCCCGGCCCACTCGGATGTGGTGTGCGCGTCGACGTGAAGGTGCTTGCCAGCCGTTTTATTGCCTCCTCCGCTGTGGCTGCCGCTGCCTTCTTATCTTCCTGAGGTCCTGCGGCTTCTTGACAAGATGTTTTGGAGAAGGCGTTGCCGCTCTTGTCGTCCATGGTATTTTGATTCTGGTGTCGTGGTCAGGTGACACTGAACGAGAGGGTTTGCTGCCCTCCTGTTTTATTTGTCCTCTCTGCCTGACGGCCAGTTCTGCACAAGCGTGCTGCTCGGCACCTCAGTTGGTGCTGGCGGGTTGCTCACGGTCGTCACTGGCAATCGCATGCGCCAACTCTTCTCTGCTCCTTTTCAGTGTCGCATTTTTTTATTGATTGACGGACGCCATTCTGTTCGGAGTGCCACTTTGATTGGATTGTGCGGAACTGCTTGCCGACGTCATCGGAGAAAACAGGCCGACCTTTTCACGTATTTAAATGCCATCTTGCGCGCAGTTGTTTTTTTCACATGTTCTGTTGGTGTGCACTCAAACAGCGAGGTGTCCGGAGCTATGCGTGCGTGGAATTCTTCCTGCCATGTGAACCGCGGGCAACAACGAGAGGTTGCCACTTTGACTCCGCAGAGTTGCTGTGTCTCTTTGCGGTGCTGGCAGGGAAATTCCATGCAGCCTGCCACTGCTGGTGTGTCCCCAAATGTTGTCACTCCATGCGAATAATGTGCTTCAGCGAGTGAGGGTGTTGATTGGATTTGTGTGCGCTCTAATTGTGTTTGCTACTTTGTGCGGGCACGCAACACTTGAGTGGTGGGAAAATGTAGCGGGGCGATGCATGGCTGCGTCTCGCCCATTGTTCACTGTACGATGGCGCGGTGCGCATTGTGGTGCTGACTCTGCGATGTCACTGCGGTCTCCTGTGCGGCAATGGTGGTGGGTGGAGGAGAGTGTTGACCCGCGGCGTGACGGTGGGATCGTGTTTTTTTTTCTTTTTGTTCCTTCCATTTTGTGAAGGTGCACTTATTTCAGTGTCGGTGATGGGGCAGACAGACAAAGTGAATAAAACAAAATAAAATAGAAAAAGAATATAATGTGGCGGTGTTGTGGTTGGTTGCACATTGCGTTGCTGCGGGGGCGGTGGGCCTCGGCTGTTTCACCGACAGTCGTTGCAGTGCGGCTGCATGGCGCACCGACCACCGAGCCGTGCGAGTGCCACGCCCAACGCCATTGGGATAGCGGGACGAAACAGCCGCGACTGTGCTTTGGAGCCAGCGGCACCTGCTGGCCGCAGTTGGGCGGTGTGAGTGGGATGCCTCACCGCACGGGTGTTGTGATGGCACCTCGCCGTGGCTCTTGTGATGATTCCGACGCTGCAGCTCGACATGTGGCGGGGAGTAAAATGTGGCCGCAGTGGACCATGAGCGGCACCAACATGAGGCTGAGTGATTTCCTTTGGAATTATGTTGGCGGCAGGGCGGCCGTTGATGAAAGACCACAACGTGACGATGGAGATGTTTGTTCAGGAGCCGGATGATTACGCACAAGACCAGCGGCTTCTTGAAGAAATTCTTAAATTAATTGCGTACCAAGCGCTGGAGGCCATTACTAAGCCTCTTCACGAAGGTGTGTTCTTTCTCGGGCAACGTGGGGATAATGAAAGAAAAGGATACGATCACTCCTCTTGCAAGGGGAAAACCAAACAGAGTACTCACGCATGTACCGACAGAAGCGAGGCGGGAGGCAGCGGAAAGGCTAAGAGGAACGCAAGAAATGAAATTTACCATTTCCACTAATATCGAAGACGTACTGTTTAAAGGAAGAGTTCGCGTCAATGAAATGAGGCTGAACGACTTTCTTACGAGGGAACTGGACGGCAGGGGCGTTGTGGACACCAATCGGGATGTCTTGCTGGAGGAGTTTTTCAAGGACCCCACGAAGTATATCCGTGATGAAGGAGCATTGAACGAACTGCAGGCATCCGGTCGTTATTTGGGCATGAAGCGAGCTGTAAAGGGTGAAGTGATCTTCGACGAGGACATACGCAAGCTTTGCGATAAGGGCGTCAACAATCTACCGGGGCGGTCATTAGCTGCTGCGAAGGTAAAAAGCAACTGCTCATAACTCCAGTAAACATTTCTTGGATGCAGCTGCCGAGGAGGCGAGTAACCCAACGACGACGAGCGCACCGGAGAAACTGGAGGGATGCTACGAGTCTGCGCACAATGCGAGGCGGAGCCATGCGGTGGAACTTCCGGACGGCGTGGAGCGAAAGAAAACGGGGACGGGAATGGGGTGCGTGAGGGGAGGCCAGAACAGTCATGGTCGTACAGGAAAGCTGACGACGCTATTGAAGAGAATGACGCTGTGCAGCAATTTGGTGCAGCACCTCCCGTGCTGATGGTGCTCACCTCGGAGAAGGGATGGCCGTACTCGTGGAATACGATACAGGATCTTCCTAAGGACGTTTTTGTAAACTGTGCGGTGGATCGGGCGTGGCAGATCGTCAAGGGCGATCTAAATAAGTGGTCCAGCCCTCACGGTGTGACCGACTTTACGCCCAAGCGACGTGTGTTGATTGGGACGCCCGGGATCGGGAAGTCGATGGCTGCCGGCTCGTACCTCCTCTACTAGCTGCTGCACTGCGATGCCGAGAAACTCCAAGTGGTAGTCTACTGTTTTGGTGGACGAGGTGCGTGCGTGTCTGACAAGACCACCAGAGCGGTGACAAGATGCAGCGATGAGGACATGTGCATCTCGGAGTTGAGAAGATTGAGGGGGCATGGGAGGAATGTGTATATTATCTACGATGTGTCAAAGGAGGGAACGCCGCCACCGAGACATTTTGCGCCTACTTCTGGATGGGGCATGATTGCGGTGTCATTCCCAAAGGTAATCAAATATGATGAGTGGGCGAAGCAACTACAGGCCGCGCGAATCATCGTGAATTGCCCCGACGAGACGGATGTGAAGGCGATGTGCGCATGGATGACGCGTGATGAGACTCCAGAGAAACAGGCGGAATGCTGGAAAGAGGTCAAAAAACACATGTATCTTTTGGGACCGATTCCACGTCACGTCTTTGATGAGGAGGCGTTTAGGGAGCGCTGTGGAGCGGTGAGGTTTGCAGTGCAATCGATCAACGAGGTAACTGCGAAAGAGCACTTTTCACGGGGAGGTGAGTCGCCATGGTATTCTGAGGATCCGTCCCACAGGCTTGTGAAAGTTGTTCGGGAAATATACGCAGGCGGTGTGATCCTTTTCAATGCACCGATATCTGCTTGCCTCGAGGAACGGACATTGGAACGCCTCCCAAGTGTAGCCGAATAAAGTAGCTTTTGAGGCTGATGTTGGCGTCGAGGGATAATATTTTGCCGATATTTTTTGGATTGTTTGCTTTGAAATCGTTCGCGGAGAGTGCCTTTGCCAAGGTAATAGCGACGAAACCCACGGAGTTTGAGCCGCCAACAGGACGTCAAGCAAAGCCCTGCGTCTTGAAGTTGGTCCCTGAACTGCATCCCAAGGGAGATGAAGTTTTGCTGCCGAGTGAATATGAAAAAACGATCCGTAAAATGAAGTGCGGGGTGCTGCACAAACCGTGGGCCACAAACTTTCCGCTGGTGGACGGCTTTTTTTCTCGGAGTCCAATCCAACGACGGTGGTTGGGCTGCGGATGAATACGACGGGTGGGCACCACACCACCGCCAGCACTGTGCGGCAGTTCACTGAGTGCGTGGCGGCATATTTTAATGGTTGGGAGGAATCATCCCGAGACATGTCGTGGGGGATTATTTATGTGCAGCAGACAGACAGCACCCCGATGGGTGACTGGCAGAGATGTGATGTCGTCAATTCCAATAATGTGAGCGACGATGAAAGCCGTGAGATTCGGCGTTCTGGAAGGAAGAGGTGCGCCAGTACCCAGTGTAAATATCATCCAAAGACTTTTGAAGAGACAAAGCTCTCTGAGGTGGGGAAGAACCGTCGAAATAGGAAAACAAATTGGGGAGGGAAAGGGGTAGTTTTGATTTGTTGTAAAAAATATTGTGGGATTTATATATTTTTTGATAATTTTGTGTGCATACGGTGCAGGTGCACCAGCACCAGACGGCAGTAAGGCACACAGATGCCACAAATGGCCAGCGCTATCGAACATGACAGTGGCAGAAGAAATTAGGGAGGGATTGGGGTTGTTTGGTTTTTGGTGAAAAACATTGGGTGATTTTTATATGGTATGTTGATTGTGTGTGCATACGAGGCATAATTGGAGAATTGCCCCGGTATGAGGGAATCATTGTGGCTGGCGGTGTCACGGCGTTACTGCATTGTCCATTTCCTTCTATTGTGCTCGAAGGCCCATCACTAACAGAAGCATCTTAAAGGGATGGACGACGAATAAGAACTATTGAGGAAACGGTGCGCTCCGTGTGACCGCATGGAGTGAGGTGCCACGTCATGGATGGATGAGGGTCCGCTTCCGCCCGTGGCCCTTTGTGTGATTGTTTGCTCCGTGTGCGTTGTGTGCCGGCAGCTGGCTGTGGCCTTATCCCGTTACCGTGGGATTGAACTGGAGGCGGTGGCGGTGTTTCTCTTTTCGTTTTTGTCCATGTTGGGTGACTGTTGGCGATGTGTGCGTGTGTTGTGTGGAGGCCGAATCTTCTCACCTGCGGACTGACGACATTGCGATGGTGTGTGTGTGTGTGCGGGCCGGTGTGGAGTTGCCGGCCAGGGTGAGGCCCTCGGCGGTGCTTTTCCCGCCTGTTGTTTGTTTCCTCCGTGTGTGTTGTTGCTTCTTGCTTTTCTCCCTCTCACCATTTTCTCCTATGTTCCTGCGCGGAGTGGCCGCATGCTCACGGGCCATTTTGATTGTGAGTGCCTCTTGACGGCATCCATCTCCCTCTCTCCCTCTGTCTTTCTGTCTGTCTTTCCCTGTTGGTTATGAGGCGTGTTGCACCGCGTGAGGGCTGGCCCGCACACACCGACGGCCCGCCGCGACGCCCACGATGGCCGGTGCGGAGTGGCGGTGCTCGCTGTCTCACCTCTTTACTTGGCTTGTTTTCCCCTTTCCCTCTACTTCTTGAACACACACGCTAGGAAAGCAAGCAAGCAAGCGCTAAACGCTACTGTGAAATTCGAAGGCTCTGAAAGGACCAACAACAGCACACACCGCCCACATACAAATATTTATATGCTCTCACGTGTTGCTGCAGTGAAGGCACCCCGCACACACAACCGTCGCCGCGTGACCGGATCCAGCGGAAGGAGGAGGGAAGGAGGAGAGAGTGAGCCGCAGAGGCCCAACATGTCGCGGCGTGTGTTTACTTTCGCGGTGCTGCTCCTCCTCGTCGTGATGATTTGCTGCGCCACCTGTGTAGCTACGCCTGCAAGGGAGAATGATGGCAACAGTGATTTAAGAACTGTTGAGGGGCTGCAATGGGTCGATTTATTTGTGCCGAATCAGACGCAGGTGCTGCCGAAAGGTGGAGGTACTCCAGGGAAGAAGCGGGATTCATTTGTTTCACCCTCTCTTGTCAGTGCTGGTGGAGTAATTGCTGCTTTTGCCAGAGGTAAAATAAATCCCCAGTATGCCGCTGATGTTAAATTAATTAAGCCACTTTCTTCTGATATTGTGGCGGGGTACATTGACTCTTCGTGGGAATGGTCCACTCTTGTTGAAAAGGTGAGTGAAAGTACATGGAAGGCACACACTGTGCTTGGTACAACTGATGGAACGAATCGTGTGGGCGATGTGCTCAACCCCACAACAACAACGAAGGGTAACAAGGTGTTTCTTCTTGCGGCAGGCTTTGAAGTACTCAATCAGAGTGATGGGAATTGGAAACGGGACAGACTGGATCTGAAACTAGTTGTGGGTGATGTCACGAAGCCTACGAGCAGCGAGCCGACTGGAAGTATCAAATGGGGCACACCCACATCGTTAAGCCAGACTAATTTAAAGACACCCAAAGCTGGATTGAAGGATTTTGATTCTTCTGGTGTCTCAGGTGTTGTGATGGAGGATGGCACGCTTGTGTTTCCTATGATGGCGAAGAGTGAAGAAGAAGACGTTTACTCCATGATCATTTACTCGACGGACAACGGCAGTATCTGGGCGCTCTCTGAGGACATGTCCCCTGCGGAATGCCTTAACCCCCGCATCACCGAGTGGGAGGGATCACTTCTCATGATTGTTGACTGCGAGAATGGCCAGAGGGTGTACGAGTCGCGTGACATGGGGACGGCGTGGACGGAGGCCATCGGGAAACTCCCAGGTGTGTGGACCAATTCACAACCGGAAGACTCTCAGGATGAAAGCCTGCATGTGGATGCCCTCATCACCGCGACCATTGAGGGAAGGAAGGTCATGCTGTACATTCAGAGAGGGTACGCCTCGGAGGAGTATGAGGCCAATGCTCTCTACCTTTGGGTCACGGACAACAACCGCTCGTTTTATTTTGGACCGGTTGGCATGGACACTTCTGTGGAGGAGGAGCTTGCCGGCGTCCTGCTGTACTCGGATGGCAATTTGCATCTTTTACAACAGAGGGACAACGATAAAGGCAGTGCCTTGTCGCTTTCCCGCCTGACGGAGGAGCTGAGTACAGTCAAGTTCTTCCTCAGTACTTGGACGCAAAAGGACATTTTCTTCTCCAGCTTTTCTATACCCACGGCGGGTCTGGTGGCAGTTTTGTCCGATGCGGCCAGCGATGACACGTGGTACGACGAGTATCTTTGCCTGAATGCGACGGTGAGGAATGCAAAGAAGGTCAAAGATGGATTTCAATTGACGGAGCCTAGCTCCAGGGTATCATGGTCCGTGAACATTCCGGATGATAATGTGCGTCATATATCCTTGAGCCACGACTTCACACTTGTGGCGTCGGTGATCATCGAAGTGACTCCGAGTGGGAACACACCTCTACTGACTGCGACAATGGCGGACACCAATTCCAATCATACCATGGGAGTGTCGTATACCGCGGATAACAAGTGGGGGAAGATGTTTGAGGACAAGATAACAACGGAAAGCAGGCCTTGGGAGCCGAAGAAAGAATACCAAGTGGTACTCATGCTGCAAGGCAACAAGGCTTCTGTGTACGTTGATGGCAAGTTGCTGGGGGAAGAGGAGACGATGTTAACAGGTGAGACACCACTTGGGCTTGTGCGCTTCTGCTTTGGCGCGTGCGAAATTCACAACTTTCCTGTGACGGTGAAGAACGTCTTTCTGTACAGCCGCCCACTGAATCCCACTGAGATGCGTGCAATCAAGGAAAGGAGGCATATCCCTCGGATTGAGGGTGTGCGAGCCAAAGCGCCTGCTGGGAGCGGACTGCTGCCGCTGCTTCTTCTGCTGGGATTGTGGGTGTTTGCGGCTCTGTGAGGAGTGTGCGGCCTCAGTGTGGGACACTTGTGCCGTTCCCTGCACCGACACTCACACACACCGCTAGGAATAAAATTTACTACGCAGAGAATAATTTGTTTTTGTTTTCTTTTAATGTTTTCTATTTCCCCCTTGCTGCTTTAGGGCAACTATTATAAGCGTTTTTTTTTTCCGGCTCTTAATTTTCTTTTCTGTTTGGAGCATAATTTCTTCATGTTTTTTTATGTTTGTTTTTAATCAATTTTGTTTGCTTTTTAAAAAATTTTTGTTTCTGTTTTTTTTTTTTTTTTTGCTCCACTCTTCCTTCTTTTTTTGCTTTCGAGGCAATCACTGTGGAATTTCTTTTTTCTTTTCTACTCTTCCCTCTTTAATTGTTTCTTCTGCACTCTTCCTGTGAGGGGTGCCGTGTGTTTCCCGCCCAACTGCTCCGCTCGCACACCCACCGACACGCTCGTGACGACGGCCCTGTGCGCCTCGCCTGCTGCACGCATGAGGAGGGGCCGCGACGAACGGCGCGCTGAGGGAGCCGTGACGTGTGGGCGTGCGACGAGGGCCTGTGGGGCGGAGCACACATTTCTTCCCTCTTGTTTTGCTTTTCTTTGCGGTCAGGGCGGGCAGACACCCGCAGCGCCACACACACAGCCACACCCTGCCGCCGTGTTTTTAAGATTTTTTGCTTTTCGTGTGCATTTCACGCGCCGGCAGTCCCTTCGGTGTCGGCCTCGTGAGCATTTCTTTTCCCTCCTGATGATTTTTTCTTTTGCTGCGCTCACTCTCCCGATGGTGTGACGCGACTGCCGTCATGTCTGCGTGCTTCTCTCACTCCCCACGCACACGAGTGACTGTGCTCTGCGGGCCGCACTCACGCGCCGATGAGAGGGCTGAGGGGAGCAGCAACACGCAGATGACCCCATGAAATATAAACGATGTGCGGACACACAGAGGGTCGGACGGTTGAAAGACATTTAAATATCTTTTAATTTTATTTTACAGGCAAAATATATACAGACAGTTTGGTGTGGCCACACGGCAGCGAGCTGTCTTTTGTTAATTTGTGTGGAACAGTAATGGACGATTTCTTTTTTATTTATAATTATTTTGTGTGATGGGGTTTGTATAAGACGAGCGGGAAAGCTTTTTCTTGTTTTCAATATATCTTGTGTGGATTGTCGCTGCTTCGGCTGCGGTACAATCGTGAGTTTGAGCGGTCTTCTTCTTGTTGCTTCCGCCACGCGTCTCCGCTGTACATTTTATTTTGTGCTTCTCTCCACACACTCTGCTTCCTCTTTTCTACTCCTTTGCTTTGTGTTTCTGCAGGCACACACAACCACACACACAAGATGCACATTGCAGTGGATATGAATGCTCCTTTTGTGGTGCATGCTGGCAGTTGCGTGTGGCGGCTGTTGTCGTCTTCCGTGGCCATGAGGAGAAGGAGGAGGAGGGAGAGGGAGTGCGCAGTCCGAGTCTCCTTTCCTGCGGGTGTGGAGCACCGCGTGTGGCTGCGTTGAGTTGGGCTCCGTGTCCCATTGAGGGCGGGATGGCTGGAAATTTTGTTGCCGCGTTATGGATGGATGAGGGTTCGCTTGCGCGTGTGACTGGTGTGGTGGGTGCTCGCTCCGTGTGCGTGACGGCGACAGGAGACGATAATAGTGATAATAGCAGTCCTCCCAGCCCTGAGCTAGGGAAACCAGATCCTACAAGAAACATGCCTGGTGCATTACCGCCATATGGTGGGGAAACCGGTGTGCCACAGACAGACAGGGAGTGGGAGAGACAGTGAGGAGGGTTTGAGAATTCCAGGACCTTCGTTGCAAAGGAAGCAGGCACAGCCATCACTGGACAGACACGAGTTCCGCCAGAGACAATGAATTCGGCTAGCGATAATCCAGAGCCACCAGGTTTGGCAACTCAGTCTCCACACACACACAAGGTGCGACCGGTATGTCAGATGCAAAAAATAAAAGGCGCAGTAAAATACACAAGGTGATGAGAATCATAAGTCACCAACATCAAATCAGAAGATGAAAATGCCAAGTAGGACTATCACTACAACAACAACACAGGCACGAGGTAATACGGCTACGAGTACAGAGGCGCCAACCACTATGACGACCACCCGCACACCGTCACGTCTTCGCGAAATCGACGGCGATCTCAGCAGCTCTGCGTGGGTGTGTGCCCCGCTGCTGCTCGCTGTATCCGCGCTGGCGTACACCACTCTGGGCTGAAGAGGTGTGTGCGGGCCGTGCGTTCCAGCACTCAGCCACGGGGATTTTTGCGCGTCCACTGTGGTCCGATGTAAATAAATAATAGAAAATAATGATTGTGTTTTGCTTCACTTGCTTCCGTTGCCCTGCTGTGTGCTCCGCGTTGTTCTCGCATTCGCCTCGTTGAACGCATCACAGACACGCTCATATGTATGCGTACTGGAGTCTTGGGTGTTTTTATTCTTGCTGTTCTATCTTTTTTTAAACTCGTGGTATGCAGGGCGGTGTTCTAGTTCTGTAATCGTACGGGTTCCATCTGTTTCAATGCCTGTGCTGCTGCTGTTGTTGCTGCCACTTGTTACTGTACAGTGGCTGTGCTTGGTTTCTTAACATTTTTCCTCTTTTGCTTTCACTCTACGTTGACGTGTCATTAGTTTGTGCTGAAGGCTGCACGCAACTGACAGGAGTGATGGCGATGATGATGACTGGCCGTGTGCTGCTGGTGTGTGCCCTCTGCGTGCTGTGGTGCGGTGTCGGCTGTGGTTTTGCGGACAAGGTGGTGGAAGCTGCTGCCGGTGTTGTTGCCAGTAACAGAACGGATGAGGAGAATTTGATCTTGAATTGGTATGTTCTGACGCAGGGAGAATGCGCGAATGAAAGCACGACAGGAGGGAAGTTGAATGTGACAGCTGAGAGGATCTGCATGCACAAAGTGATGAAGGAGGTTTGTGACGCTTTTTATAATAAAACGTCGGGTGTAACTCATGACCGTGACGTTGAGTTTATTTGTACGTATTACGCTACCATTCCAGAGGAGCCCGTCGAGCCCCCAACACCGCAAGGGCCACCATCACATTCAGCTGTCAGCAATGCCACCAGTGATGAGGGGACGCCGAAGAATGCACCGGAATCCGATGTTGCAGGGAGAGGAGAAGGAAAAGAAGATGACAAGGAGCACGGCAATACGAAGCAAAAAGCAGTCGAAACCGCCGCTGTGGAAAGTATCACGAGGAGTACCGACAGTGAGGTCAGCACCGCGGTCTCCCACACCACCTCCCCTCTTTTGCTTCTTCTTGTTGTTGCGTGTGCGGCTGCTGCTGCGGTGGTGGCCGCGTGAGAGTGAGGGAGAGAGAGCCGTGCACCGCCCGCACACACACTCTTCCTTCTCTCTCTGTGTGTGTCCCCTTGCATGGACTCTCGCCCTCACCTCACCCCACGAGGCACACACAATAATGTGCCCATTGTATATATGCATGCACACCCATGCATACCCGTTGGTGCTCTCTTTTGCACGACACGCACCGCTGCCGTCCTGCCTGGCTGCATGGGCGGAGCACCGTAACTGTTTCTGTTTTGTTTCCATTGCATTGAGTGGGCGACCTCTCTCTCTCTCTCCCTCTGTGTGTGTTTTGCTTTACGGGAGCAATGAGAGTGTGTGCGCTTGTCGTCCCACGCTTCGGCTTTTTGTTTTTTGTTTTACTTGTGGTGTGGTTGAGTGCACACATTCCATTGCCCTTTTTTTGATTTGTGGCTTGCTTTGACGGTGGACGCCTAAATTGTTTGCTTTTTGTGTATTATTATACTGTTCCTTTATTGTTGAGAGAGTGTCAGTCTCTTTTCTCCTTGTAACGCCACCAAGTTAGTTTCTTTGATATACGCCATGCGTCATTTGATTCACGTTACTCTGCGGCCTGCATTGCTGCTGGAGCTGCTATTGATGATGTCTGCGCTGTGATTTGTCGGCGGGTGTCTTGCTGTCAGCCTGCCGCATTCTTCGTTCCTTGACGATTTGTTGCGTACCGACGGTGCGTGGGCGTCTCTGGTGATAGTGGGGGACGCGTGTCTCAGAGCGCAGGATGCGTTGCGGGTGTGCGGCGTCGTTTGGAAGTACCGATGGGTGACCATCCGCATCCAGGCGTCATGACGGACTGTGAGGACAGCATAAGGCACTGCGGCTTCTTTTGGTTTGCACAAGGAGTTTATTGGACGGTGCGTTTGTTTTCAATCTGTTGCAGCTTTTGTGGGAAGTTGGGAGGTTGAGGGCATGAGGACTGAATTCATTTGGGTGGCTGCGTTCCGTTGACTTGCGGCCAGTCGTGGCACTCTTTTGGGGTTTGGCCGCTCGTCTCTTTTGTTTACTTCTCACCGCAGCACGTGGATAACACTGGTCCGAGGAACATTTGTTTGACGGGTGTGAGCTGCTGCCGTGCGTGGCGCATGGACTATGTGATTGTGTGGGGAGGTGCGTTGGAGTGACGAACACTTCTGTTTGGCGTGTCGCGGTGTGTCGGAATGATGTTCGGATGACATGTGGAGGGTGTTGTTTGTGGTTTGTGTGTCTTCTCTGGTGGAGCCGACATGTGTGCGGGATTGTGGCATTGCTGGCTGACAGCTCCACGTCACTTTTCGGCATTCCTGGATGTGCTGAGGAATGACGGCTGGCGACCAGCGTGTTGGTGCTGCCGGTGGGAATAAGTGCATCGGGAATAGGCTGTTTTCTCCTTTCCGTGCTGGAGCCGATGAACTGGCACGAGGGCACCGGCTGCAGGCTGCCTGCGAGCACGTGTGAGCAGCGGATCCATGCACACACCGACGCTCATCGCAAGAGCATGTGCGATCACAGTGGCCTTTTGTGGCGTGCTTTTGTGGGCGTCAGCCCATCGAAGAATGTGTGAAGCAAACGGCTGACTGCACACGAGGAAAATAAGTGCGTGCACTGTGCCGTGTTTCAGCGTCGATGGCAGAGCGACAGGAGGCCCGTGCTGGCAACTGAGATCTTTGCGTCGCGAGGGATGTCGGTATTGATTTTGGATCGTCGAGGGTGAATTGATTTTGCTGCTGCCCGTGTGTGTGGCCACTCCGGCGGAGGGCGAACACAAAAGGGAGGGATGCAGGCGCTGCGTGTGTGTGTGCAGGTGCCATGCAACAACGTCGCAAAAAACGTGCTGCGACTCGGTGACCCTCACATCGCTGTGGTCCTCACGAGCAGCCGAGGCACGGCCCACACCGATGCACTTATTGGACGGAGTGAGGCATCTTTTGAGGCGCAGCAGGGAACAAGATGTGTTGACGCAGCCACGACGTGCATGGAGTGTCACGATGGCACAGTCAGCTGTGGCTGGTGGAATAATTACTTCTCGGAGGCAACACAGAGAGAGAGAGAGAGAGCTGCTCCTGCTGTTGGCGTCGTTGCTGCCTTTTGTGGCCTCCCATGCCGATTATTGTCTGTCCGCTGATCATGGGTGGTGTGCTCCACTAGTGACGTCGTCTGCAGGCATTCCACAGCACCAGTGAAACACACATCACGTCGCATGCTTTGGCTGTGGATGTGGTGTCGTGAGTGCAGCCGGCATTATATTGCCCGACTCCTTTTAACGGCCTTGCGACGAATAGATGCGTCGCCACCCGAGTCATTCACTGCAGCTCCGTGTGTTGTACTGCCAGCACAACACTCTCTTGTTGTCTGGCGCCTGGCTGACAGTCGAACACCACAGCGTTGGGACATGCAGGGATGTGGACTGCCGCTCACGGTGTTGGGCACCGCTGTTTGGATGCGGCGGCCACACGAGCGGATGTATTTTGGCACAATCAAATGCGTGAAGTACGCGGAATCACAGCGGCTGCAATAATATCAGCGGTGTGGCACCACGGAATGTGTGAGTGGGTGATGCATGATGAATCACGGTGGGCGGCATGCGAGGGAAGTGCACCGCGACGGAGCGTCATCCCGCCCTCAGCCTGCAGGGGAATGTACGCCCACAAAATATATGGACGAGACACCACAAAACACACATGCCCTTCCATGCAACAATAAATAGGAGCGAAGGTGCGTTCTGGTGTGTGGGAGTCCACTCACATATTTTCATTTCCACCGCAATAAACGGTGAGGAATCATGTGCCACAGCAACGAGAGGAAAAACAAACATCTATTGCAACACTTTTACCAGCGAAAGGCAGGAACAACACAAACCGAATTATTGACTGCACCAACACAAGAAACATTCACAAGAGGAAAAAACAAATAATTGTGCACCCTGCAGAAATCCCCAACACACGACCCAGGCATGAAGGTTTGCCCTCTGCAAAACAAAACAACGCATGCAGACATCTGCCAACATCCAAAAAGAAACACAAATAAATGGTTGCTTGCATTATTCCATTCCTTGCGCTTGTTTTTGATCGTGCGGCTGCTGCTGCGATGGTTCCCAGGCCTGCATGAAGTGGTGTGCGCCGAATATGAACGAAGGCTAAAGGAAACTGAATTATTTTGGCGGTGAATATTGGCTGCACTACCCGTGGACCAACGATCCACGTGGTGTGCGGGGATCTCTCCTTTTTTAATTGTTGCTTTGCTTTTGTGTTGCTGTGTGAGCTGCACCTCCTCTTGTGTGTGTGCGTACCCTCCGTGAGGGGTGCCGACACGACGGACCGCTCTCGCCGTATGTGCATGCGGTGGAGCCTTGTGTGCCGCTCCTGTTTGCTTCTCCCTCTTCCATCTGTGTGTTGGTGTTGCGGCAGGGCTGTGTGTGTGTGTGCTGCCGTGGATTGGAGTGTGTGTGTGCGGGGTGCGGCGTACGGTGCATGCCTGGCTGCTGCCCTCTCCTCATGTGGTGTGCCCTCTGTGTGTGTCTGCCGCACCTCTCGTCTCCCCTGTTGCTCTCCATGTCCCTCACTGTGCAGATCAGCTCCACACCACTGAACGACCACACTCAGGATGACGACGTGCCGTCTGCTGTGCGCCCTGTTGGTGCTCGCCCTGTACTGCTGCCCGTCCGTGTGCGTGACGGCAGATGTTGATGATAAAGCTAATAATTCTGGAGGACATTCCGATTCAGATGAAAGTGGTAAGCCCCGCACGTTACACCCAACAGTTAACGGACCGGCTAATCCTGGTTCAAAAGGTCTGGCCGTTACGTTATCGGGATCGAAAGAGACGGCCGCTCCGCCGGAGAGTCCAAATCCGAATGGCGTTGCGCAAGTTAGTTCAGGGCCAACGAGTTCGGATCTTGGTCCGTCGGGGACTCCGTCCTCAAAGCAAACAGATACGAATGTTGACACCGCTGCCGAGACGACGACGACAACGACAAAGGCACCATCTACGACAACCACCACGACCACTGCCGCGCCGGAGGCACCAAGTACTACGACTACAGAGGCGCCAACCACGACGACCACCCTCTCACCGTCACGTCTTCGTGAAATCGACGGCAGCCTCAGCAGCTCTGCGTGGGTGTGTGCCCCGCTGCTGCTCGCCGTATCCGCGCTGGCGTACACCGCTCTGGGCTGAAGAGGTGTATGCGGGCTGTGCGTGCCAGCACTCAACCGCGGGGACTTGTGCGCGTCTACTGTGGTCCATTGTAAATAAATAAGAGAAAATAATTATTGTGTTTTGCTTTATTTGCTTCAGCTGCCCTGCTGCGTGCTCCGCGTTGTTCTCCACATTTATCACGTTGAACGCATCGCAGACACACTCTTACGCATGGCATGCATACAACTGTTTGCGTGGACGCATGTCTGTGTGAATGCATGCACACTGGAGTCCTACTGTGCAGCCTTTTGTTTTTTGTGTTTTTACATCTTTTACTGTATTGCTGTTTGTTTACCTGTGTTTTTTTGATTTTTTTGCTGATTATTAATTGCTGTGGGGCGTTGTATGTGTTTTTGCCCTTTCACTGATTCCATCTGTCTCATTTGTGTGTGCGTTGGTGTTATTTTTTGCGGTGCGTGACTCTCATTTCTTACTGTCCGGTGGCTGTTGCGTGGCTGTGTGACTTGTCTCTCCTTTTGCTTCCGCTCTGCGTTGACGGGGAGTTAGTTTTTGCTGAAGGCTACACGCAAGTGACAGGAGTGATGGCGATGATGATGGCTGGCCGTGTGCTGCTGGTGTGTGCCCTCTGCGTGCTGTGGTGCGGTGCGGTTTTTGGACACGCTGAGGGTTTGGCAGCCGTTGGTGGCAGCTCTGGTGGTGGCAACAGTGCTGGAAGTGAGGGTGGCTCACGTGGAGATCCTGACGTAAATTCCTCTTTGGAGCCTCTTTCTGTTGTTGAAGGTTCCAAAGGAAATATGATTTCTTCGTTGGAAACTTCGCCGTCTGTTGGTGGTATTCCTCCAAATTCTCTTTCCGAAGAGGGTGATGGTTCACAGTCCCCTGGCGAAACGCTCACTTCTGATGACGAGTTATCTTCAGAGGTAAGTGGTCCGTCGGCACAAACAAAAACGCCTGGACAGTCCGATTCGCCCATCGTGAAGGCACCGGAGAAGTCAGGTCCCGAAACAAAAACGCACGTCTCTGATAAACAAGGAGAAGCAGGAAGTACAGAGGCTAATGAGGATGCAACAGAAAACGAGAAAGGGCAGAGTGAGGTGGTGAAGAGAGACACCTTCAGCGCTCCCCAATCACCGCCAACACCGCCAGTACCGGCGTTCCCAACAGAAGAAACCCCACTAGCACCAGCAGACTTACGGAATTCAGTAGAAGAGGATCGAAACACACCGCCGTCACAAACCAAAACGGATCTCGAGGCACCAGAAACGTCTCTAGAGGATGCTGAGGCAGAGAAACACGGTGAAGGAGCAACCACATCCGATTCGATGAACGATGCAGCTAAAGGCCGTTCAGGAGATTCAACACCATCATCCATCTCTACAATTGACAGCGTTGACGCCCAGAGGAAGGCGGAGGAAGAGGATGACAGTGAGATGGAAACCCTCAATCCCAATGAAGCCTCCATTTTACCTTTGGTGAACAAAAATGGTCAAGGAAACGTGATTCCATCTTTTTCTGGTGAACAGCAGGAGCAAAAAGGACAGCCGTTGGGGAAAAACGGTGCGGGCGGTGCATCCGCAGTGTCCACTGTAACGAGTTCCCCAGCAGGCAAGGAGTCCGTAAAGCATTTGGCGTCAGGAAAATCTCCTGATGGGCATCAAAATGTGGATGGCGGTTCTACTGCTGGTGGCTACCAAACGGCGACCACAGGATATGGAGATAAAACGCAGGAGGATGGACCACTCAAAACTCCTACGGGAAACCTTGCCAAAGCAGAAGATGCAAATGGCCCTACAACTATGGGCGTGGGGCAAGATGGAACCGCAGTGAATCCTGAGGTGGGCGAGAGCTCTGCTGAGGATTGGGAGACAGTAGGAGAAAAAAATGTGCAGGAGGAGGGAATCCATCCACAGGACGGGGAAGTAAATGCCACGGCACTCAACAGCAGCCTCGGACATTTGTCGCGGGGGAATAACAGCGATGGCGGCACCATGCGTGAGAGCGGACTGCTGCCATCGCCGCTTCTTCTGTTGGGACTGTGGAGGTTTGCGGCTCTGTGAGGAGTGACTGGCTGCCGCGTAGAATACCTGCGACCTCCCCTTTCCCCACCACCGACGCACACACTCCTGCTAATGGATAACTCCCCGTAAAGGAAAGATATTTTTTGTGCGATGTTTACTTTATTTAAAATACTTTAATTATTTTCATTTTTTGCTTTTGGGGCAATCACTATGGACGCTTTTTCTTTTCTACTCTTCCCTCTTTTAATTGTTTCTTCTGCACTCTTCCTGTGAGGGGTGCCGTGTGTTTCCGCCCAACTGCTCCACTCGCACACCCACCGACACGCTCATGACGACGGCCCTGTGCGCCTCGCCTGCTGCACGCATGAGGAGGGGCCGCGACGAACGGCGCGCTGAGGGAGCCGTGACGTGTGGGCGTGCGACGAGGGCCTGTGGGGCGGAGCACACATTTCTTTCCCTCTTGTTTTGTTTTTTTGCGGCCAGGGCTGGCAGACACCCGCAGCGCCACACACACAGCCACACCCTGCCGCCGTGTTTTTTTTTCTGTTGTTTTCTTTGTGAGGATGTGTGTGTGCTGCCACCGTGCGTGATTGTTGAGGTCGGGGCCGTACCGCATGTATCGCTGCCATCCAGCTGTGCCTATTGCTCTGTTGATGTGCCTCCCTGTGTTCCTCTCTCTTTTCTTTCCGTTTCTCCAGCACACACACATAAATAGTTGCACAGTGCTCTCCTCGTTGTTTTTGCTCTGCTGGTTGAGGGCGTCGTTTTTTGTGCTGACGCGTGACGGACGGTGTCACGATGGCTTCCTCTGACGATGGCAGTCGCTGTGCTCTCGGCACACATCCACACACTCTTCCTTTTCTCTCTGTGGGAGTGATTGCAGCAGGGCATTGCTGCGAGCGTGATGGGGACCACGACAGCGTCACCCCTCGAGAAGGCCCACGCTCCGTTAGTTGTGGAGCGGCGAGGCGGTTTGCCTGCAGCTTGACTGACAGAACCGCACGGTTGTTTTATTGCGGTCACTCCGTCGGCATCACCCGCTGCGGTGGTGTCCGCAAGAGCCGCAGCCCCGATGAGGATGGCCTTGTAGTTGTCTGGCAGCTCAGAACTTCAGGCATTTCGCCCCTCAGGATTGCCCTTGCTGCTCGACTGGCGCAGCACCAGCCCGACACGGCTCTTCTGCAGGAGTGCAGGCACCAAAGTGCCCCAGCGACGAGGCTCATTAGCTGCGGTGACTTCCACCAGGCCTGCAGTGGGCGTGCCGGTGGCGTGGCCTTCTTGGTGCGCCACACCTTGCCGTGCGAGCGCTTGTAGCTCGTGGCGCCAACTGCGTGGAAACCAATGCCTTCCGCGTGTGCCCAACTGTCTGCCCCAGCATTTACGCGGTGAACCTCTGCAGCCTTTCCCGGCAATTGCCCACGCTGCTCACTTTGCGAGCACCATTCGTCGCTCAGTCCCCGCAGCTGTTATCGCGGGTGAACTGAATTTACATCATGGACTCTGGGACAGTCATACACCACCAACGACTGAAGGAGAGGATTTGTCCTCTACTCTAATTGACATGGATTTTGGGCTGGCAAATGGCCCGGCGCAGGCAACGCGGAACACACATCGTAATGTCTCGTCCCCTGACGTGGCTGCGTATTGCGCCCTACGCATCTCCCACTGGACATTCGTCCCCTACATGGATTCGGACCACTGCTTAATATCTTACTCGGCGGGGATGGATGATGGCATTCCGCGACTAGCCAACACGCTGCCTCGGCGGGAGAAAGCCACTTTTGCCCTGCGCAAAGCGGACTGGCCTGCTTCCACCTCGTTGTGTGAAACACTCCTTGCCGCCGCGTCCGCATGGTTGGAAATTCGCAGTGGAATCTTACAAGCAGCTGAGCGCCACATCCCGCGCGGCAGCCGCGACAGCCCAAAACAATATGGACACACAAAATGGAACAAGCCAAGGCCGCCGCCGAAGCAGCACACAAAGCATACACGTTGCCTCGCCAGGAGACATCCTGCTTCGAGCCGAATTCATCCAAAAAGTGGAGGACTAAAATCAAACATTACGCCGTTGCTTCACTATGCTTCTGGAAGCCAGTGCGGAAAAACTTGGAGCTTCATCCAGCCCGAGCTGGCGATATCTCCGCGGCGCCACACTCTCATTCCCTGGAATTGGTTGTGCTTCGCACTGATCCTCGGACCGCGTCTGTGCTCTGCCTCGGCGGCAGGCAAATCTGCTCGTCAATCATTTTGTGCGGTTTCACGTGCCGCATTACATTATCCTGCTGCTGCTGCTGCTGCTGCTGCTCGCTGCACTCCCTTGCCCCTGGTGACGTGGACCAAATGACACATGCTGTACGTGAAGGAATATCCTTCATGGCTTGACAAGAATAGGAAACACTGGCAATATCTCAAAAAAAAAAAAAGAAGGAAAAAAGAAAAATCACGTGTCCGCTGTCAAAGCAAGCCACAAATCAAAAAAAGTAGTGCGTGCACACAACCACAACACAAGTAAAACAACAAAAAAAGCCGAAGCGTGGGACGACCAGCGCAAACGCTCTCATTGCTCCCGTAAAGCAAAACACACACACAGGGAGGGAGAGAGAGGTCGCCCACTCAATGCAATGGAAACAAAACAAAAACAGTTACGGTGCTCCGCCCATGCAGCCAGGCAGGACGGCAGCGGTGCGTGTCGTGCAAAAGAGAGCACCAACGGGCCTGCATGGGCGTGCATGCATATATACAATGGGCACATTATGTGTGTGCCTCGTGGGGTGAGGTGAGGGCGAGAGTCCATGCAAGGGGACACACACACAGAGAGAGAGAGAAGGACGAGTTTGTGTGCGGGCGGTGCACGGCTCTCTCTCCCTCACTCTCACGCGGCCACCACCGCAGCAGCAGCCGCACACGCAACAACAAGAAGAAGAAGCAAAAGATGGGAGGTGGTGTGGGAGGCCGCGGTGCTGCCGTCACTGTCGGTAGTCCTCGTGATACTTTCCACAGCGGCGGTTTCGACTGCTTTTTGCTTCGTATTGCCGTGCTCCTTGTCATCTTGTTTTCCTTCGCCTCTCCCTGCAACATCGGATTCCGGTGCATTCTTCGGCGTCCCCTCATCACTGGTGGCATTGCTGACAGCTGAATGTGATGGTGGCCCTTGCGGTGTTGGGGGCTCGACGGGCTCCTCTGGAATGGTAGCGTAATACGTACAAATAAACTCAACGTCACGGTCATGAGTTACACCCGACGTTTTATTATAAAAAGCGTCACAAACCCCCTTCATCACTTTGTGCATGCAGATCCTCTCAGCTGTCACATTCAACTTCCCTCCTGTCGTGCTTTCATTCGCGCATTCTTCCTGCGTCAGAACATACCAATTCAAGATCAAATTCTCCTCATCCGTTCTGTTACTGGCAACAACACCGGCAGCAGCTTCCACCACCTTGTCCGCAAAACCACAGCCGACACCGCACCACAGCACGCAGAGGGCACACACCAGCAGCACACGGCCAGTCATCATCATCGCCATCACTCCTGTCAGTTGCGTGCAGCCTTCAGCACAAACTAATGACACGTCAACGTAGAGTGAAAAAGCAACAGACACGGCCGCTACACTGCACACAGTCACCACAGAGTGACAAATGGCAGCTTGCGCACACCATGAGGCAGAGGGAGTCAGTGCGATTGCGGCACTCGCTTACCGCTCTCCAAACCAAAAAATAAATAAAAAACGGAAAAATCACAACAGCGGAAGAAAAAAAGAAAAACAGAGTTGAGGGTCCGGCAAGGCTCCAAAAAAGTAAAAAAAAATATGAAACATCGATCAGGCACGACTTTCATTTCATTTGCCATGCGGCACAATAAAAAAAGACATTTGTTTGTCTGCACATGATTCCCGCACAGAATAAAGCAAAAAAAGATCGTACTGTTCCACCAGCCCACACACAACACCTTCACACTTCATTGCGGCATCCAGCCTGTTCCTCCGCTCCTCCTTTCGTGCAGTCCGTGGGACGCACTGCAATGGAGCCGGCACCGCGTGTGGGCAACAAAAAACAAGGAGGAGAAACGCGTCACTCATGAGAGTGTGCAGCAGCCGACCATTAAATAAAGGAACAGCAACGATACTTATTATTCCAGGAAAACATAAAACCAACAGCAAAATGTTAATAATAAAAGAAAACACGAAGGGAACGCGGCACACGTTCTCTGCGAGGAGCCGCAATTCCACACTCTTCGGCTCACAAGACCGTCACAACTCCACACAATCCCAGAAGAAGCAGCAACGCACAATACACGCAAACACGCACAGTGCCGTCAACAGTCAACTCGCGCAGTGTCAATTTCGCGTCGTTGCGCAGGGCAAAGCAGTCGTCGGGACTCACACCGCTCCCGGAATACTGCGCGGTGAATTCTCGTCATTGGGGTTTGTTATCGCGTCCACAGGCATTGCGTTGACTCAATCCGTACGCATCACCCTCAGCAGCAAATCCACTGCCCGCAACGCCATTTTCTAAAACGAGAGATTTGTGTCCAGTGGCGTCGTGCTCACTCGCCTCGTCCGTGTTATCCGCGGCAACGTGTTCCCTGCCGCCACAAGTGACAGACATGATCCCCAATGCATTTAGCGCCACTGATATTCTCGGACCGTTGGCAAAGGAAGGCCTCTTCGTGGATGCATTCGGGACCATCATTTCGATCGGATTGGCGGCAAACTCAGGCCTCGTCCCGGAAGTGTTGGTCGCCGTGTTGGATGCGGGACTCCGATCGACGGTGTTGGGTCCGTCAGCCGCCGCAGACTGTCGCCAATCCTCGTGTTGACGTGACGGCTCAGCATTCACTTGCGGCGCAGTTGTCCCACCAGATTTTGTGTCATCCTTCCCTTCACGGGGTGGCGGCAACTGACAGATGCCGTCCGGTCAGCATCGCTGCTCCGTGCAGGCGAATGGATGGTTCCATCGGGGGAAATTGACGCCACCACAATTCATAAAGGCCGGCGTATTTATGTGTCGTCACATTCATCGTGGAGGCAACGGTGGCCCCTTCCTCTTTCCTTGCACAGCTGGCAGCACAGTTGCTACATGTGTGCACCGCATTGGCCACATGGCACACAGCACACAGCACACAGCTCACCATTCCTGCCATGCATGCGCACACCAAAGCCACTGAAAGTATAATTCTCATGCTGAGCCTCAGCACTGGCAGCAGAACACTTCTTCCACGCCCACACACACGCACGATAGCTCGGGCCGCCGTCACTCGGAGCACACGACACATCCACCGGCACAAACACCGCATCCGCACCACCAGACACATGTCCAGGACTCCCAGCAGCCGTCACACACACAGGCAAGCAGCACAATAGCGCAAGGACCAACACGGCGCACACCGCACCATCGTCACGCGTCGTGGAGTCGCTGGGGCCAGCCAGCTGATCGGTGAGCCAGAAGGAAAAGGAATGGAAAAGGAGGGAGAGGAACGGAGTGCAGCGGATGCAGAGAGAGAGCGCAGACAACATGAGGAGAGGGCAGCAGGCCCAGCCGCACAGTTCACACACCACGAGGCGGAATCCACGCAAGAAAGGCACACAACGCCAGCAGCCACCCACCATGCAGGAGGAGAAGACATCCACCACCATCTCCTCCCAGCTCATTTTCACAGCCAACGGGAAATGGCAAAAACCCGCAGCCACCACACAACGTACACGGAGCCCAACTCAATGCAGCCACACGCGGTGCTCCACACCCGCAGGAAAGGAGACTCGGGCTGCGCACTCCCTCTCCCTCTCCCTTCCCTTCATGGCCACAAAGAAGGACAACAGCCGCCACACGCAACCGCCAGCATGAACTACAAAAAAAGCATCCAAATCCACTGCAATGTGCATCTTGTGTGTGTGTGGTTGTGTGTGCCTGCAGAAACACAAAGCAAAGAAGTAGAAAAGAGGGAGCAGAGTGTGTGGAGAGACGCACAAAAAAATGTACAGCGGAGACGCGTGGCGGAAGCAACAAGAAGAAGACCGCTCAAACTCATGACTGCACTGCAGCCCAAGCAGTGGCAATTCACACAAGATTTATTTAAAACAAAAAAAGAAACCTTCCCTTCGTCTTATATAAACCCCATCACACAAAATAATTATAAATAAAAAAAGAAATCGTCCATTACTGTTCCACACAAATTAACAAAAGACAGCTGGCTGCCGTGTGGCCACACCAAACTGTCTGTATATATTTTGCCCGCAAAATAAAATTAAAAGATATTTAAATGTCTTTCAACCGTCCGACCCTCTGCGTGTCCGCGCATCGTTTATATTTCATGGGGCCATCTGCGTGTTGCTGCTCCCCTCAGCCCTCTCATCGGCGCGTGAGTGCGGCCCGCAGAGCACAGTCACTCGTGTGTGTGGGGACTGAGAGAAGCACGCAGACATGACGGCAGTCGCGTCACTCCATCGGGAGAGTGAGCGCGGCAAAAGAAAAAAATCATCAGGAGGGAAAAGAAATGCTCACGAGGCCGACACCGAAGGGTGCGCCACCGCATGAAATGCACACAAAAAAACAAAAAATCTTAAAAACACGGCGGCAGGGTGTGGCTGTGTGTGTGGCGCTGCGGGTGTCTGCCCGCCCTGACCGCAAAGAAAAAAAACAAGAGGGGAAGAAATGTGTGCTCCGCCCCACAGGCCCTCGTCGCACGCCCACACGTCACGGCTCCCTCAGCGCGCCGTTCGTCGCGGCCCCTCCTCATGCGTGCAGCAGGCGAGGCGCACAGGGCCGTCGTCATGAGCGTGTCGGTGGGTGTGCGAGCGGAGCAGTTGGGCGGGAAACACACGGCACCCCTCACAGGAAGAGTGCAGCAACAAACAATTAAAGAGGGAAGAGTAGAAAAGAAAAAACGTCCACAGTGATTGCCCCCAAAGCAAAGAAGGAAAAAGGGATGGGGAAGATAAAAAAAAAGTAAAAAAACACGCAAAACAAAAAAACAAGAAAGTAGAAAACAGCAAATAAATTTAAAATACGCAAAAAAAAAGGATTTATAAAAGAAATTCGTTCCCATGGGAAAGTAATTATGTGGTGGGGAGGCCGCAAGTGTCCCACGCGGCAGCCAGTCACTCCTCACAGAGCCGCAAACCCCCACAGTCCCAACAGAAGGATCAGCGGCAGCAGTCCGCTTCCGCAAACAGTGCTGCCATCACCATTTGCCCCAAAGTGACGAGCGGTACCGACACCCGTTGCTCCTCCCGCCAAGGATTCAGAAGAGCTCTTCGGGCGAGACACAGCTGGTGAAGAAGCACGCGCAGCCACTGACTTTGGAATATTAATTTTGGCAAGCCCTGCAATCTCTTCGGAGCTCAACGGACGGTTGTACAGCAGGACGTTCCTCACAGTCACAGATACACCTTCGTCACCCCCTGTGTTCTCTGCGCTGCCTCCATCCCCTCCAATGAAGAAGTGTGAGATCCCTTTCGAATCCGTATTTTCCCACTTAATTTGCACACTCTCACACACACGCTGACCATCGACGTAAACGGAGCCCTGGTTGCCGTTCTGTAGCACAATGGCCACTTGGTACGTTGTCCCCGGCTCCCAAGTCCTGCTGGGCTCCGACGTCTTTTCGCCACTGTGCAACAATTCCCACCTCTTTTCTCTGTTGTACGACAGTCCCAGGAGTACAGTATTCTTAGCGCCATCGTTCACCTTCGCACCCATCAATGGAATGGAGGTATCTCCGTCCTTTGGCAAACCGTGGATGGACACCGTCGCCACAAGAGTGAATTTGTGGTTCGCAAAGTGGTACAGCTGATTCTCCCCCTGCCTGCCAACAGGCCACTCCGCCCCTGCACCACGCCCCGTGAACGTCACGCCATTATCCGCACCAATACCGCTCTTTACTGTGGCGTTCACCCCGAGGTACTCGTCCCTCCATGTGTTATCAGAGAAGCTGCCGGACAAAAAGCCAACCAGCCCATCCGTGATCTTACCAGCGCTGCAGGCATTGTCAGTTGAGGTAACCTGTGCAAGTAAAGTGGCGCACAGCTTGGAGACACGTTCGTCCACTTCCTTCCAGGTCGCCAGCACCTCCTTCACCCGCTTCAACTGCTCAGTCAGACGCACAGAGACCATACCGGGTGATGGTGTCTTCCCTTCGGCCCCCTTCTTCTTCTCGTACAGTGCAATCAACTTCTCCTCTTTATTTCCTTGATCTCCACTTTCAACACTTTTGTACAGCAGGGTGCTGGCGGCAACGTCATCATCGTTCCCGGACACCAGCCCAATATCAACAATGTGCGTATTGTCCGTCAGCCAAAGATGGAGTACGCCCTTTGAATTGTCTTCCTCCTTTGAATACACCGGCAGAGTAACGAGCATCACGTCCCTGTTATCGCCAATCGTCGCTGTGGTGAACCCGCTTCTAACGCGCCTCTCATGTCCCTTGTGGTTGTTGCCCCACACGCGCGAGAGTGTCCCGATTGCCTCCGTCCACGAATCCCCCTTGTCACCGGACTCGTACACCCTGCGGCGGCCATCATCACACGCAGTCATCATCATGAGTTTGTCCTTCTCCCACTCCACAACGGAGGGATCACTGCAGTCATCGGCAGAAATCTCCTTTGACAGCTTCCAACTCTTATTATCCGGGGAGTATATGAACAGAGAAACGGTGTTTCTCCCCCCAGCTGCATCTGTGCCATTCGACTCCCCCGTCCTCACTTTTTTTCCTTCCATAGGGAACACAAGAGTACCGTCCTCCATCTTAACGCCCGATCCACCGCCGCCAGACGGCACACTCAAAGATTTATTTCGTTGGATATTGGAAATTACCGGGAGAGTGTCAATATCAGTCCAATGAATTGTTTTGTTACGGCCATCATCAACACTGATGTTCCCTCTCGCCAGCAAAAGCCCCACCTCCTCTGTTCTATTCTTCCCAGTACCAGCGGCACCTTTAAGGCCGTAGATTCCAGCAAGCATGTAAATATCAGTTCCATGCACAACTGTTGTTGGCCGGCTCACACGTACTCCCGATACTCTTCGGGAACCTGCTCGGGCAGCTTCTTGGGAAGCACAATTATTTTTTTTGGAAGGACATTCCTCCAGCACTTGTGTCTTCACTTGAGCCGTAAGCAAATCTTCTTTTGCTTGTTCACCAGTCAACGTCAGGAGCTTCGAGGCAATCCCAGTAAAACGGCCTTCGTCCTGCTTCTCGCACTTCGCCTCGGCAACGGCAAACACCTCTCCATTCACCTCAACAAGGCTGGGACCACGAAGCCAACTCACTGTTTCTCCTTCTTTCACATCTCTCCAAGCAAACAATTTCCCTGGTTGAGATCCCTGACCTGACTCTTGACCCACAGCGGTCGCAGCTCCGCCAGTGCCGCAGCACATCATCACGACGAGGAGCAGCAGCAGCGCCGAAGTAAACACACGCCGGGACATTTTGGGCCTCTGCGGCTCACTCTCTCCTCCTTCCCTCCTCCTTCCGCTGGATCCGGTCACGCAGCGACGGTTGTGTGTGCGGGGTGCCTTCACTGCAGCAGCACGTGAGAGCATATAAATATGTGTGTGTGGGCGGTGTGTGTGCTGTTGGTCCTTTCAGTGCCTTCCAATTTCACAGTAGCGTTTAGCGCTTGCTTGCTTGCTTTGTGAGTAAGAAAAGAAATAGATGGAAAACATGCCAACAAAAGAAGCACAGGAGTGGGCACCGCCACCCATCCACAGTGAGTGGCACCATCATCCCCGCCGCAGTCACTCCCAACAACAACAACAACTCACGCATACAAACACACGGAACAGGAGAAGGAAGAGCAGTGCACCGGGAACACGCAGCGACTGCCACCACCAGCGGCAGCCACGGCGGGTGTGTTATTCGTCACGCGTCAGCAGACACCGAACAACGCCCACGCAAAAAACACAAACAGCGGAAGACAAAAGAGCGCAACCGCCCTTCGCAGCACCGACACGCTGCCGCCAGTCTTTTTACTGTTTTCTCTTCCAGCGCACCCGCTTCTCCGCCGCAGGCGCGTATCACACCGCACAGCCGAAGAATACCGGCAAATCCAGAGCGGGAGGGACCCGTCAGCATGTGCAGCAGCTTGGTGAGAACCAATCAACAGTTGTATCAGGCACCCCCAAAAAAAACACCCACCGACTGCACACCAGCAAAATGCCAACAAAACACATCGAGGGCTAACGTCCTCCGTCCTCGCAAGGGCCGCCGCAGTCGGAATCATGTGCATTTGTGCATTCTCAGCGTTCAGACCCCTACGCAGCGTGAGCGGCATGGCGTGTGTGTGTGTGCATGTGCTTGCGAGTTTGGCAGCGCCTATACTTGCAGAGCAGCTGTGCGGCACAAGAAAGTCCTGAGAAAGCAACGGCAGAGAGAGGCAGATAGCACACACTCAAACTACTCATATCATCACACACACACGCACATGCAGCCCGCGGAATGGGTTCACTCAACCACAAACCATGAAAAAAGGAAAACAAAAAGCCGAAGCGTGGGACGACCAGCGCACACACTCTCATTTCTCCCGTAAAGCAAAACACACACACAGGGAGAGAGAGAGAGGTCGCCCACTCAATGCAATGGAAACAAAACAGAAACAGTTACGGTGCTCCGCCCATGCAGCCAGGCAGGACGGCAGCGGTGCGTGTCGTGCAAAAGAGAGCACCAACGGGCTTGCATGGGTGTGCATGCATATATACAATGGGCACATTATGTGTGTGCCTCGTGGGGTGAGGTGAGGGCGAGAGTCCATGCAAGGGGACACACACACAGAGAGAAGGACGAGTTTGTGTGCGGGCGGTGCACGGCTCTCTCTCCCTCACTCTCACGCGGCCACCACCGCAGCAGCAGCCGCACACGCAACAAAAAGAAGAAGAAGCAGAAGAGGGGAGGTGGTGTGGGAGACCGCGGTGCTGACGTCACTGACGGTAGTCCTCGTGATACTTTCCACAGCGGCGGTTTCGACTGCTTTTTGCTTCGTATTGCCGTGCTCCTTGTCATCTTGTTTTCCTTCGCCTCTCCCTGCAACATCGGATTCCGGTGCATTCTTCGGCGTCCCCTCATCACTGGTGGCATTGCTGACAGCTGAATGTGATGGTGGCCCTTGCGGTGTTGGGGGCTCGACGGGCTCCTCTGGAATGGTAGCGTAATACGTACAAATAAACTCAACGTCACGGTCATGAGTTACACCCGACGTTTTATTATAAAAAGCGTCACAAACCCCCTTCATCACTTTGTGCATGCAGATCCTCTCAGCTGTCACATTCAACTTCCCTCCTGTCGTGCTTTCATTCGCGCATTCTTCCTGCGTCAGAACATACCAATTCAAGATCAAATTCTCCTCATCCGTTCTGTTACTGGCAACAACACCGGCAGCAGCTTCCACCACCTTGTCCGCAAAACCACAGCCGACACCGCACCACAGCACGCAGAGGGCACACACCAGCAGCACACGGCCAGTCATCATCATCGCCATCACTCCTGTCACTTGCGTGCAGCCTTCAGCACAAACTAACACCACGTCAACGCAGAGTGAAAAAGCAACAGACACGGCCGCTACACTGCACACAGTCACCACAGAGTGACAAATGGCAGCTTGCGCACACCATGAGGCAGAGGGAGTCAGTGCGATTGCGGAACTCGCTTACCGCTCTCCAAACCAAAAAATAAATAAAAAACGGAAAAATCACAACAGCGGAAGAAAAAAAGCAAAACAGAGTTGAGGGTCCGGCAAGGCTCAAAAAAAGTAAAAAAAAATATGAAACATCGATCAGGCACGACTTTCATTTCATGTGCCATGCAGCACAATAAAAAAAGACATTTGTTTGTCTGCACATGATTCCCGCACAGAATAAAGCAAAAAAAGATCGTACTGTTCCACCAGCCCACACAACACCTTCACACTTCATTGCGGCATCCGGCCTGTTCCTCCAATCCTCCTTTCGTGCAGTCCGTGGGACGCACTGCAATGAGGCCGGCACCGCGTGTGGGCAACAAAAAACAAGGAGGAGAAACGCGTCACTCATGAGAGTGTGCAGCAACCGACAATTAAATAAAGGAACAGCAACGATACGTATTATTCCAGGAAAACATAAAACCAACAGCAAAATGTTAATAATAAAAGAAAACACGAAGGGAACGCGGCACACGTTCTCTGCGAGGAGCCGCAATTCCACACTCTTCGGCTCACAAGACCGTCACAACTCCACACAATCCCAGAAGAAGCAGCAACGCACAATACACGCACACACGCACAGTGCCGTCAACAGTCAACTCGCGCAGTGTCAATTTCGCGTCGTTGCGCAGGGCAAAGCAGTCGCCGGGACTCACACCGCTCCCGGAATACTGCGCGGTGAATTCTCGTCATTGGGGTTTGTTGTCGTGTCCAGAAGCATTGCGTTGAGTCAATCCGTCCGCATCACCCTCAGCAACAAATCCACTGCCCGCAACGCCATTCTCTAAAACGAGAGATTTGTGTCCGGTGGCGTCGTGCTCACTCACCTCGTCCGTGTTATCCGCAGCAACGTGTTCCCTGCCGCCATAATTAACAGACATGATCCCGGATGCATTTAGCGCCACTAATATTCTCGGACCGTTGGCAAAGGAAGGCCTCTTCGTGGATGCATTCGGGACCATCACTTCGATCGGATTGCTGGCAAACTCAGGCCTCGTCCCGGAAGTGTTGGTCGCCGTGTTGGATGCGGGACTCCGATCGACGGTGTTGGGTGCGTCAGCCGCCGCAGACTGTCGCCAATCCTCGTGTTGACGTGACGGCTCAGCATTCACTTGCGGCGCAGTTGTCCCATCAGATTTTGTGTCGTCCTTCCCTTCACGGGGTGGCGGCAACTGACAGATGCCGTCTGGTCAGCATCGCTGCTCCGTGCAGGCGAATGGATGGTTCCATCGGGGGAAATTGACGCCACCACAATTCATAAAGGCCGGCGTATTTATGTGTCGTCACATTCATCGTGAAGGCAACGGTGGCCCCTTCCTCTTTCCTTGCACAGCTGGCAGCACAGTTGCTACATGTGTGCACCGCATTGGCCACATGGCACACAGCACACAGCACACAGCTCACCATTCCTGCCATGCATGCGCACACCAAAGCCACTGAAAGTATAATTCTCATGCTGAGCCTCAGCACTGGCAGCAGAACACTTCTTCCACGCCCACACACACGCACGATAGCTCGGGCCGCCGTCACTCGGAGCACACGACACATCCACCGGCACAAACACCGCATCCGCACCACCAGACACATGTCCAGGACTCCCAGCAGCCGTCACACACACAGGCAAGCAGCACAATAGCGCAAGGACCAACACGGCGCACACCGCACCATCGTCACGCGTCGTGGAGTCGCTGGGGCCAGCCAGCTGATCGGTGAGCCAGAAGGAAAAGGAATGGAAAAGGAGGGAGAGGAACGGAGTGCAGCGGATGCAGAGAGAGAGCAGACAACATGAGGAGAGGGCAGCAGGACCAGCCGCACAGTCCACACACCACGAGGCGGAATCCACGCAAGAAAGGCACACAACGCCAGCAGCCACCCACCATGCAGGAGGAGAAGACATCCACCACCATCTCCTCCCAGCTCATTCCCACAGCCAACGGGAAATGGCAAAAACCCGCAGCCACCACACAACGTACACGGAGCCCAACTCAATGCAGCCACACGCGGTGCTCCACACCCGCAGGAAAGGAGACTCGGGCTGCGCACTCCCTCTCCCTCTCCCTTCCCTTCATGGCCACAAAGAAGGACAACAGCCGCCACACGCAACCGCCAGCATGAACTACAAAAAAAGCATCCAAATCCACTGCAATGTGCATCTTTTGTGTGTGTGGTTGTGTGTGCCTGCAGAAACACAAAGCAAAGACGTGGAAAAGAGTGAGCAGAGTATGTGAGGGGACGCAGAAAAAAATGTACGGCGGAGACGCGTGGCGGAAGCAACAAGAAGAAGACCGCTCAAACTCATGACTGCACTGCAGCCCAAGCAGTGGCAATTCACACAAGATTTATTTAAAACAAAAAAAGAAACCTTCCCTTCGTCTTATATAAACCCCATCACACAAAATAATTATAAATAAAAAAAGAAATCGTCCATTACTGTTCCACACAAATTAACAAAAGACAGCTGGCTGCCGTGTGGCCACACCAAACTGTCTGTATATATTTTGCCCGCAAAATAAAATTAAAAAATATTTAAATGTCTTTCAACCGTCCGACCCTCTGCGTGTCCGCGCATCGTTTATATTTCATGGGGCCATCTGCGTGTTGCTGCTCCCCTCAGCCCTCTCATCGGCGCGTGAGTGCGGCCCGCAGAGCACAGTCACTCGTGTGTGTGGGGACTGAGAGAAGCACGCAGACATGACGGCAGTCGCGTCACTCCATCGGGAGAGTGAGCGCGGCAAAAGAAAAAAATCATCAGGAGGGAAAAGAAATGCTCACGAGGCCGACACCGAAGGGTGCGCCACCGCATGAAATGCACACAAAAAAACAAAAAATCTTAAAAACACGGCGGCAGGGTGTGGCTGTGTGTGTGGCGCT